TAAGTGTCCTGCATGTGATCTTAAGTGTCCTGCATGTGATCTTAAGTGTCCTGCATGTGATCTTAAGTGACCTGCATGTGATCTTAAGTGTCCTGCATGTGATCTTAAGTGACCTGCATGTGATCTTAAGTGTCCTGCATGTGATCTTAAGTGACCTGCATGTGCAGTAGAGGACGCAATGTGTTCTGTGTTTAGGGAAGATGGACGACAGAGCTGGAGCGCATCCTTCGATCTTTCATTCACTTCCCAATCTCAGCCCGTTCATCAACGCTACAATCTGTTCAGAAGGTTGTTTTTCTTCCTGCTGCTGCGTAGCAAGACACAGAGCAGCATTAATGGCCGGGAAGAAAATCTGTGTTATTCAATATTATAGAGTTTAAATAATTCGGAGGTTCAACAATATCAGTCAAAATATAAACGGGGAGGGGGGGGGTCAGACGTCTAGTAGGTCCTGGTTTCTCTGACCTGTGAGGGTTGACCAGCTGGAAGTCGTCCCAGGTTAGGATGCCATGGTACCAGGCGGGGGGTTTTGGTTTGGGGGGGTCCATGATGAACTCTGACTTGGAGTCCTCATCAAAGCTGCCCACGGAGTAGGTCTCCTGGCTCTCCTCAGTGGACGCCTCCGACTGCACCTCGGACAGCAGGTGGGCTCGCTCCGAGACGTGACCCGGAGGAGAGCTGCGCGACTGGTACAGCAGCTTGCTCATGTTTGCCTTGATGTCCCCCATGCAGAGCAGCTTGAAGAAGGGCTGAGACACTGGAAGGTCCACCAGTCGGTTGTCCTGGATGCACTTGGCCAGAAAGATCCCCAGGAAGTGGAAGAGTTTGGTGATTCGCTCCAGCTCCTCGCTGTCCTGTGGGAAGGGGGCCGGGAACAGCCCGCAGGATCGCTGCACATAGAAACCAGGAGGCTTCAGACCCCCACCCAGGTCCACCTAAAGCCACAGAGACAGCAAGGTCAGAACTGAAGGACAGAGACGCGTCTGCTGGGTTCAAACTGGTGCAAATCAAAGAACTGGACCTTTGACTGGCAGAAAGTCGAACCTTTCTGGATCATTTTGGTTCAAACTCAGGAACCAAATTCACTTTCATTTACAAATTTCACCAATTTAAACTAAATGTTCAATCTTTGTAGAACATTCTGGATAATCTGGATTAACAATATTACCCTGAACCGTTTGTAGTAGTTTAGAGGCGTCCGACCTTCATAAATCAAGACACAATCAATAATTGTTTTTTTAATAACACATTAAACTCTCGTAGAGGATTTTCCCTCTGAGCCACTTTATGTTCACACATGGGCTCCAAATAATCCAACAGAGATCATCTTAACCATCATTACCTATGAACAGTTCAAAAGGTCAACAGCTCTATAATCAACTCATTTAAATTCTGCTCTATGAGTCTGACCTGTCGTGACTCGTCGTCAGGGAAGTCGTCATCACACAGCCAGATACCCAGAGACGTCCTCTGGAACTCTGCCGCCACCAGAGCATAAAACTCCAACGTCGGACCCAGACCAGTTCCCTCCTCGCCCTGAAACTCCACCTGAACGCAAACAACATGGGAGTCACCTTCTAGAAACAGAGGAGTCAGAGTCAGGGTTCCCATCATGGGTTCTGAGCGTGTTCATCTCCTACCTCTAGCACAGACTTCCTGTCGGCGTGAATCTGCATGACTGACTCCGCCCATTCCATCATGGCGTCTCCTCGGGGGACCTTGACCCGCTCGTGTTTGAGCCGGCCCACCCTGAACTCTCCAGGGTCGTCCCTCCGCACTGTGGTTGAGGGCCGTGAACGCTCCATGGTTGCCTCCCGTCGGTTCTGGAGCCAGACGATGGCCCTGTGGAGGCAGAGGTCAGAGGTCAGGACAGCAGCACCATAACAAGTATAGATAAAGTGGAAATGAAACCGTTAAACTAATTCAATTCACCAGATTATGTCTATTATCAATGATTATGTTAAAACCTGTAAAATATGTAAACATAGAGGAGAAAACAAAGCAATGTTTTATCATTTTTTTGGCAAGGGCCCCGCCATGTTGCAGTGGTGACATCACGGCGTTTCATCTAGCAGTTGAATCCATCGATAAAATTCAAAAGCTTTCTGCTTTACATAATCTCTGCAACTGGTGTTCTGTGGGGTAACGCTGATAGTCGGGCCCCCGGCTCCAAAACGGCCCCTCCCTCCCTCCCGACAGCTCGATTTGGACGCCCAATGGACTCCAAGCAAAAGGATTTAGACGATCCTGTACTTCCAGCTTCGTCTTCCTTCATACCAAATTTTGTTCAAAGTGTTCTACGGTTGTGATGCATCACTGGAATGTGTTTAACTGCTAGCTGAAGCATTAAGTAGTGTTGCACCGATACAGATACCAGTATTGGACGGGGCCCCGATCTAGCCCTAAAGTGGTGGTCTCGGTATCAGCGAGTACCAACCAATAGGGCACTGATACCATTTTGAGAGCCAGAAGTTTCTTCAACTATTGTCACCCACTCCAGGTAGGCAATAAAAAGTTCTACTGGATTCACTTTGTATTACATTTTTTCCTGCTTCACAAAGGTAGGCAGCAGCTCGACATGAAGCCATGATGGCGATTATTTTACATTGTTATAGTATCGGCCGATACTGCACAGCCAGGTATCGATATCGGGGCCAGAAAATGGCATCGGCGCAACACTAGCATTAACCAGCGCTGTGACATCACCGTTTACAGTACTACAACATGCTTGTGCCATGTCAAGAAATTATATATTTTACATTTATATTTTTCACATACCTAATTCATTCTTTAATTTACTATTCTCAATGACATTAAGTTTGGTTAACTTTTTCATTTACACCTGTTCAGGCGGGATCCAGAAAGGAAAACACCTCAAACGTCTCCATAGGATCCGGGTCTTCTAGCATTCATTAAGGACACAGTGCCCTCCTATACTAAAGCACTTCCCCTCAAAGGAAAGGTTGTTACCATAGAAACAACCAAAGCAGAGCTGGGATCCCTTTAGGCCTGGTCGGGCTGATACCCTTCCCCTCCAATAGCAGAGCTTCTTGTTATGGCGCCGCGTTCAGACTCACCTGGAAGCTCCGAAAGCCGTGCAGGTGAAGTACAGCTGTCTGGTCTCAAAGGGGATCAGGAACGGACATTTAGACGTGAGCTGTTCACACCAGTCAGGCAGCGCCCCGCTGGCCACCGCCAGAGGCTCCTGGAGGAGATCAACCACAAAGCAAAGCGTTCACAGATACGTAGCAGCTAGCTTAGCTGAGGGTTTCTGTCTCTACAACAGAAAATGACCCCAATAGCTAAAGAAATCGGAACCTTTAGCTCATAGAGAAACTTACTGAATAAATATTTAATTTAAAACTGAATGAGAAAAATCAGAACAAAGGGTAAAAAAAGAATTTAAAAAAAGTCTAGTTTAAACTTCAGGTTCCTGACCAACCAATGCCTGATGTGAAACCTACTAGCAGCAAACATAATATGGCAGATTGCAACAAAAACCAGGAGCCTGACCTCGATCTGCTGCAGGATCTTGGTGGTGATCTTCTTGCTGGTGAACTCCTCTGGTGATGCATTGAACTGCAGCTCCTCAACATCTGAACAGTTAAAGCAGAAAACAAATCAGGAAATGCAGAAAGGGATTTTACATCATCTTCCTCTTTATTCTGAGATCTGCTCCTGGTTCTTTCTTTTTTATATAAAAACCTCCATGTTTAACCTTAAAAGGCTCTGAACTGAATGAGTGTTTATAGAAGCAGGTCAATCACTTCAGGGAGGCACAATAATGTGGAAAAAGGATTCATGGAAAGAAGGTTTTTATAGATAATATTTTCCTACTTTCATAGATTGGGCCCCAAAAAAACAACTCTATTCCTAAATCCAGTTTTTTTTCCCACTTTACTCAAACGTACAACCAATCATTTCCGTAATTACTTAAAAGTTCAAACTTAGATGTTAAACTAAAGATGCCCATAACTTTAAAGCGCCAAATCTCTCATTTATATAACTCAATGATGTCATTTAGAAGTGTATCAACAGACAAACAGACGGTCATTTCAAACAGCCGTGGATTAGAGCACTCAACTGGCTGAATGGAACTTCTTCTTGTCTACGTCTCAATCCGGTTCAATTGAAAGTTCACCATCGTACTCACTATAGGAAGGTCCCACTTGCTAAAATCTAGCCTGAAACAGATCAGTCATGTGATCCACCTGGTCGTGCTCTAAGCTGGGAGAGTTTTGGGAAACAATATTTGGGATTTTGAAAGTGGCTTTTGGCCTAGATCTACGGCCCAGCCCTATAAGGCTATATTTGGGGTGGACGCTGCAATGGTCAATAGTAGAAAAATGTTATCGCTCTTGCAATACTTTTAGAATGGAAATACCGATTACCACAGAAGGCATCAATGCGGCTTCCTGTTATGATGATGCTGCTAAAACGTTAAACACTTTCTTAGAGGATCAACCAAAACCTTCTATAGGACCCTTTACTGGTTTACTTCAACTAACTTGCAGCTCTACCTTCTCATTAGTAAACAAGCTTCAACATAAAGTCATTTCCTATTAGAAATGTTTATCATTATCATTCATTATTATTAATTTTATTTATTTAATTATTTTTCTTTGCCAGCACAGGGAGGGTAGGACGGGGTTTATGAAAATATACATTTTTAAAATGCTGCGTAGATCTTGTTCCATTGTTCACCATCGCCAAAGGAATTGGAAGAAATATAAATTACAACCTGTATGACATGGTACATGTTTAAAAATAAAAAATTGAAGGAATTCTTTTTCTTTTTATTATATACAATCTCAAATCTAAATGTATATATTTAATACCTCAGTATCAAAAATGTGTTTACAGAGATTGATGTGGAAAAAGTCTGAGATCCTCCATGTAACTCTTACTGTTTCTGCCCCCCATTCAAACCAGTCTTATTCCAGTCTATTCCCTACCAAACTGGGAGCCGTTCTCCTGCTCATGTAGTTTTCACAGTAAAGCTGATAAAGTGATAAACTGAGACGACCAGCTGCATAAGAGCTTTGATGAAGTCTAACTAAGAGAAGATGTCTGCCGTACCCTCCTGCAGCGTGCGTGCGTTAGAGGCCGTGTCGCTTCCGATGATGTAGAGGATACGCAGCAGCTGCAGGACGTCCTCCATCCCACAGGCGGTCTGGCTGCATCCAGCTTTAGCCTGGGCAGCCTCTCTGACCCAGCCCAGGATCTCGCTGCTCTGGCTGCCAATCAGAGAGCTCGGACTCAGACCGCCGGAGCGACCCCCGACCCCTGAGCTGTGTTCAAGGGACTCCTGAGGACAGAAATGATCAGAGCTCAGCATTAAGGCGCCTCCAGAACCAAAATGGCTGCGATGACGATGAACCTACCATCTTCCCGCTGTCCTTCTCTTTATCAGAGTCTTTCAGCTCTCTGTACATTATCCTGCAGGACAAAAACGGCCTCAGTAAACATGAACCTCAGCGCTGAGTCAGGTTGCGGTTGGCTGCTCTTACGTGTACGTGGGCTCCCAGATGCGCCGCAGCTTATCCGTCTTCACTGAGCCGCTGCAGGAGAGCTGCAGCAGCCGCTGAACGTAGTAGAAAATGGTCAGCTTGTAACTGGAGAGAGGAAGCTCCACCTCTCTGGTGGTACCCAGACCAGGAACCTGGAGACACACATGGAGGTCAGAACATAAACAGCAGGAACATTCTCTAAGTTAGAACCTCTGATATCTGGGCCAACTTCCTGCAGCGTCGCTCCTTCTGCAGCAGTACAACTCATGATGGATTCTAAAATCCTGAAACGGGTCGGATCCCTGAACCGGGTCGGATCCCTGAACCGGGTCGGATCCCTGAACCGGGTCGGATCCCTGAACCATGGTCCAGTTAGCATCTAAGCTATTATTTCCTGGGATGTTAGATTTAGCTTAGATCAACCTTGTCCTCTGCTCTGGAGGAAGAACAACAAAAAGATCAACTGTCTTTTCTTTTGGATGATATTTGAACCTTTCGGGTCTCTACCTTCTGTCCAGAACCCAGCTGTGACCCGTTCAATAAAAGATCCAGTAACCCAAAAAGGCGGCCTGAATTTCAGCATAGAAGGGACAGATGTTCCCTCGCTAGGATAAAATACCCTAAAAACAGAGGATCTAGAATCGTCCTCTCTTACCTTGAGTGTCAGTGCAAGGTGAGGGGAAGGAGCGCACTCCACTTCCTCCCGGGCCTCGGATCGAGGAGTTCCTGAACCAGAGGAGACAGAATCTGCTTTATTACTAATTTGAAAGAAGTAAGAAAGAAGTAATCAAGAGAAGCCAAACCTTCCTCACTTTGCCCTTCAGTGTCATTTGGTATCAGTTTCATGGTCACCAAATACAACAAAGATCAAATCTAAAAGGATTTATAGGATCCAAACGAACAGATCAGGGATAAATAATTAAAAATCATTGAGGTCCCAATAAAGAAAAAACAACCAGTAAAGGTCTGGAGACATTTTTAAATATAATCGTTACTTTAGGCAGAATTAACACTGAAATAAAACAAGGTTTTTATGTATCCATGTTATAAATTAACTTTTGAAATAAAAAAAAATAGAAGAAAAAAAAAGGAACATTTTTCCATTTTAAAATCTAAAGTGTTTTTGAAGTAGAGAACAACAATCGTTCAGTTTGGTTTATAGA